TTGCGGTACGCGGGCCTCTCACTGCTGTGGCCTCTCCCGTTGCGGAGCACAGGCTCCGGACGCGCAGGCTCAGCGGCCACGGCTCACGGGGCCCAGCCGCTCCGTGGCACGCGGGATCCTCCCGGACCGGGGCACGAACCCGTGTCCCCTGCATCGGCAGGCGGACTCTCAACCACTGCGCCACCAGGGAAGCCTGGTATTGTCTTTTTTAAATAAACTTTAAAAAAATAGTTCTAGATTTACAGAAAAGTTGCAGAGCTAACACAGAGAGTTTCCATATACCCCACATCCAGGTTTCCCGATAGCTAACATCTTAAAATGGCACATTTGTCACAATTAATGAATGGCATGGTGTGTTTTATTTACTCTTTAAAATTGTGTTACTTCAGGCAGAGGAATACCAGAAGGAGAGTGCAGACCCTTATAGGACCCCAGAGGCCCTGCAGCCTCTGACTTAGGGCACATGCACAGCTTACCAGTTGCTGGGGTGCCCGAACCTGCCAACTTCCAAACTGCGTGCTATGCCCCGGCCCAGGGCAGGCTCTGAGAAAGGCAGACATTTCCCTTCACCATGGTACCAATGCCCCAACCCACAGCAGACAGGTGACCCCTAAAGGTGCTGCCACTTCTGCAACAGGATGTGCTAGACACCTAGATCAGGGTGGACAAGAGGATCACCCCCACCAAGACATGGCCTCTGTCTACCATGGTACAGCCATGCCAGCCCAGGGCATTCCCCACCTGAGACTTTGCAAGGCACCCATGTCCAGCTCAGATCCTCTCTGCACCTGCACCCAGGCCCCCGCTGGGAGTGGACAGCAGCAGTGGTCATGGGGTAGGCATAGGGATATGGATGCTGGATGAGCCCCGGGGTGCCAAGGATCAGGGAAACAGGTGGCTGAGAACACGTCCAGGGAAAGCAGGTAGGTGGCAGGAGATGGGACAGTACGTGAGCCAAGGCTACAAGCCACGGAGTATATACTCCATTTTCCCATCTGACTTTACTTACAAAACACAAAGGTAATAATACTATGAGTTTCAAGACTAACTATGCGGCCCTTGAGTGAGAGGGCCCCTGTGCAGCTGCACATGCCCATGAAGCTGGTTTTGTTCCTCTTCTTACAAAAATGACTCTGAGAGGGAACGATGCTTGGCACCCCAGAAGCAAGTCTCAAGGGGATAAGGGAAGGGATTGGGGCCATCTGTGGCCATGGGGTGACCCTACTTGTCAAGAATTTCCAGAGAAGAAGGAGCAGGGAGAACCTCGCTTCTTTTCTCCCCTTCGTTTGTTCTTTCACTTCAACAAGAGCGACAAAGGAAGATTTACTTCCTTCTGCAGGTCTGGTAAGTATTGCATTGAATAATTATAATTATTCAATTATAATTAGTATTAGTCTGGTAATAATACGTGACATTCATATAGCTCTTTTCTCAAAGGAGCGCCAAGCACACTACCCATTAATCCTTGCAACATCTCTGTGCCATAAACGCCGAAGAGATATGAT